ACGAAAGAGAAGAACTTGATTTGCAATGACTATGTATCAAGTTGCGAAAGAAAGTGATAGATATGGAGGAGAAAGCCCATTCCATCAAGTTAACTTGATAATTGGAAAACAACGAACCTTGGTGCTCAGAAACTAAAGAGACACAAAATTACAATCAACACCATTTGGAAAAAAGGGAACACAACTTCAGGAAGAAATTACGCCCCAAACAATGTGTGTAGAATGTAGGAAACCACTATAGTGATCCAGCTTCACAGTTATTGGTTTGTACACTACGCAGGGCTGCTAAGTAACACTTGGGCTCGGGTCACATGGACAGTATGGTTGGCCACAGGTGTCATCCTATATCCATCCTGTCATAATTCTGGAAAGTGTTCTGAGCATTCTCACTATTCCATAGTGAAGGATCCTCTTACAGAATAAAAACGCACTAATTATGGATATAAATAAATACCCAGAAAGAATCGAAAGCCAGACACTTCCTCAGGGTAACAGCAGCATCCATTCCCCAGACGACTTCCCCTTACAGAATTGTGATGATGTAGGCTGTTTCCCAACAGCTAGATGCAAACCAGCATGTTTGATTCCAAACTAGAATGGCTGACCTTTGACAACTAGGAATGGAAATAAGAACTTGTCACACTCTAAATTACTAATTCCAAAATGATCGCAACTGTGACGCCCTCCCTTTATTTATTGTCTAGTTTTCTGTGTTTTGTTGATTCTCAAGGGCTTGAGAAAGAACATGTGGCTGACTCTGCTGAAAATATATCTAGAAAATAAGTTAGAACGTAAGCATTACTGATCGGTGTTTTCACATTCCTTAAAAAAGCAACGTTGCATTTATATAGCATTTAGGCATAGGAAGAATTTGCAGATTGAAACTTCGAATCAATCTCTGACAGATGCTATACTCAACTTGCTTCAACAAGACATCATGTGCAGTAAGTGGCCCCCGGGCTGTGAGGTCAAATACCAACGCAGCCACTTGTCAACTGTGTAATTATTTTAGAAAGTTGCTTAAATTCTCTGCATTTCACTCAGGTTCTTCATATGCACAATGGGATTAATAATGCCCACCTCTCAGGGTTATTGTAAGGATTAAACAAAGTCAGGCATCCTACTCTCTCCCTCTGTTGGTTTCTTTTCTTAAAATCAGGCATCTTGGAGAAGCTGCAGGAACTATGTTTCATTCAAACAGAATGTAGATTCTGTGAAATCTTACCACCTTCCTTCTGATAAGTAACAGTGATGGGACATGGCGCGTCTGTGTGCAGAGGGGCTCACAGTTTTAGACAGCTCTGGGGTCTGGGAGCTAGGAAACTCATTTCACTGGTGAGGAACTGAAGCTCAGGAAGCTCAAGTGTCTTCCCCCGAAACAAGCGATCGGAACTAGAAATTGACTTACACTTTATGGCCCAAGTGTCTACTACACTCCAGTAGCCTCTTTTTCTGGTTCTCAAAGCTTTCCCCGAGGCCAAGCCCGGAGCGCCTGTAAGGGATGTAAACTCATCTCTGGTTTACTTTAGACGTCGTGTGATCGCAGGTGCCACGCCCAGGGCTTGCCTTTCGTGATCGCTCTGTTCTCATGCTCCAGAGCAGGGTCAGCGCAAGTACTCATATCAATAGCTGAAGTGATACTCTTTTCACCTATTTGTGGTTTTAATGATTTGGCTATTTCTGTAGTTATATTTTTAGGACATCCAACATGTATCAAGAAAACCATTTAAAAGGCCATGAGGCAGATTAATCAAATACAGTTTTTTTTGTTCTCTTTCCATTAGCAGAATCCATAAAGCTGAAAAGAAGGATTCTAAGCTAAGAGGATCCTCTGCTTGGGCTCCTATAAAAGGAAACCCACCATCCTGCCTGTTTCTTTGCTAAATGCAGAGGAGGGGCTGGAAAGAATGACGTAGCCTCTAGGAACCTGGGCTGGCAAACCTACAGACCTGGGCAGATTACAATCAACTTTGCTGTCACATAAAAAGTGCTCCTGCCCTGGTTGGTGTGGTTCAGTGGCTAGAGCACCAGCCTGCACATCGAAGGAAGGGTCCCAGGTTCGATTCCCGGTCAAAGGCACGAACCTGGGCTGCAGGTCCGATCCCCAGCCCCAGTCTGGGCGCATGCAGGAGGCAACCCATCATTGTGTCTCTCTCACATTGATGTTTCTCTCTCCCTCTCCCTCTCCCTCCCTCCCTTCTACTCTTTCTAAAAATCAATGGAAAAAAATATCCTCTGTTGAGGATTAACAACAACAACAAAAAGATGCTCCCAGACCTTTTTTTTTTTTTTTAATGTCCACTGATCTTTGCAAGTAACCGACTTTTAAGTATAGTCCAGATGGTGATGGATGAACATAATATTTCTCTGTCCTCCGAGACAGGGTAATTGTGCATCGCACACAGCCAGCAGTGGTCATTTTTAATATTTAAATGACATCTGAGTTGGAGATTAAAATTTGTAAAGAGCAGCAAGATCCCAGGAAAAGGAATGGAAAGCCACTTCTACTTTCAAATGCAATAAAACAGATGGGCCTCCCATTCCAGACACAAGCATTAAAATATTTAAGATTCCTTGTAATGCTAGAAGCCCACAGGAGGAAGTCTCAATCTCCTTTCTTCCTCCCTCCCTCCCCCTCTCTCATTTTGCATTGCACAATTATAGATCATGAAGTTGACTCCAGAGGGCAAGATTACATATTGTTTTTAAAAGCCTAGAATGCAACCTTAGGACCCCGCATCCTGATTAAGCAATTAAATAGGGAAACACAGTCACAATCCTTAAGTATAGGAAAAGTCACACCCTTTTCAACCAGCTGACGTGACTGACTCAAGTTCCCTACCAAATTAGTCTCCCAAGGTGACCCCAGTCATCTGCTGGGGGCTTCCTCCCAACAGTTCATTGGAGACCTTACAAAGCCTCAAGGTGAAGCTGCTTTCTCCACAGATCCTCCAAGTTGGTTTGCATAGTAATTCTGACCATGACCTCGCGGAAGAGTGGGCCACTGCCTCATCTCTCTTCCTGTAAAGTGACAGGTGACAAATCCAGACATTTCTCTTTCCATGTTTTGTGAGAGGCACACTTCCCCCAAAGCTCCTCTGTTCTGAGGGTTTTTCCAACATGAGCTGCACCAGACGGCCTCACCGCGGAGTGTCTCTCGAGGAGCACTCACCGTTGCTGTGTTGGCAATCGCAGGTCAAGCAGTCGCCCAGGAAGTCGGACAGCCTCCCCCGCTGCCAGCTGCACTAGGTGACTGAGGGACAGTAGATCCCTGGTGACAAGGTTGGGGGCTGGGGGTGGTCAACAGAGTCCTCCAGGAGAAATTCTTCTTTCCAAATGGTCACAGAACATAGGAATATATATGTATCTGCCACCACTTTAGAAAGCGCTGACATTCAATATCCCAATTTTAAAATATATGAGTGGGGATTATGTCACATTATAAATTGTCTCCATTTTAGAGTACTATTATTGATTTCTAGGTTCCTTTAAATAGTAAGCTTCATGCATTTCTTTCTGCATTGATAGGATAACCTAATTGGCAAAATTATGATATGTGTATATATTATGTAGTTAACTAGCTATATAAAGTCAGTAGAAATTAATGCATGTATTTATTCACTTCACAAGCTTTTAACCAGCTTATTCCACATGCTGGAAATGGGACCAAACATTAGGAACACAAAAATGGACAAATTCCTGCCCTTGAAGGGCTCACTGTTACCTGGGGAAAAGAGGCAAAGTGATCAGGCATAATCTAGAGACGGTTTCATTGGATTCATGCATGACCGTCACCTAGAGGGCCAGTTCAAACAGATTTCTGGGCCACCTCCCCACTGCCCTAGTTTCTGATTCAGTGGGGCCAGAAATGTGCTTTCTAACAAGTTCCCTGGTGGTGCTGCTGCAGCTGGGGGTCCACAGTTTGAGAACCACTGACCTAGTGTTACAGGTATTGGTAACAGGTATT